ACCAGAATATTTCCATAAAATCTTTCGTAAATCTTCTATTTGCTCGGATTTCAACCTTTTCTCGAGTTCATTCTCCTCTATGATGTCCGAGAAATTTAATATACTTGGATTGGAAGGTAAACGAGGAATGTCCATTTCTAAGTCTCCTTCCACTTCAGTTATCATATTAATCATTTCTGGTCTTTTGTAATATGGTTTAAGCATGTTAATGTGATATACTTGATTTGGCTCATTTTGTTCCTCGAAACTTACAATATCATTGGTTTCTGAAATTTTTTTGCTCTATTTTTCCAGGTCCTTTCCACTGTACTTCTAGTTTATTTTGACGATTCGTTGATAAAACAAGAACTAAATCTCCTCTAGCAAATTCTCTTTTCACTTTTCACTGCGTTTCGATCGTACCATGTTTTCCTCCGTTGTTGAGCTTCTTTCATGTTTTCCACGGCAAGTTCTTGGCATTTCTTCATTCGATTAATAAGTTCGAAAACGTAACTGACAACATTATTACTTTCTTCAATCGGTTCTAGCCACTGCTCATAAAGTAAAGTGACTGGCGTTCGTAGGTTTTTGCCATGAACTAATTCTGCTGGTGTAAAACCAGTGCTTTCGTGTGTGACTGTTCTGAGAGCAAAAAGAACTGATGGTAGATAATTCTCCCAATCCGAAGTCGCTCCTATACATACGACTCTTAACACCCTTTTTAGCGTTCTATGGAATCGCTCAACGGGATTACTCTGCGGATGATACACAGAGCTTCTTACATGTTTAATGCCGAAACGCTCCAAAAATTCCTCTGTCAAAGCACTGACGAAAGAGGTCCCCTGATCTGTTTGGATCACTTTTGGGAAACCCATACGACTGAAAATCTGTAAGAAAGCATCAATCACAGATGGCGAAGAAATGTCTGTCACCGCAACAGCATCTGGATATTTGGACGACATACACAGAGCTGTAATAATATATTTTTTCCCAGTCTTTGAAATAGGTAGCGGACCAACGGCATCGACATTTATTTTAGTGAATATTTCGGAAATTACTGGTACTAATGTCATTGGAGCCTTCTTTTTGTCATTTCCTTTTCCAGCGCGCTGACAAGCATCACAGGTTTCTTACAAAATCTTCAGTTTCTTTGTAACACCTCGTCCAATAAAAATATCTAGCAAGTCTGTCTTTGGTCTTTTTGACACCCAAATGACCAGAAGTTCCTTCGTGGCACATCTTTATAATTGAGGGCTTGAGTTTTTCGGGTATAACGACAAGCTGTCTTTCAAAGCCCATTTTATCTGTCTTTTTTTTTTAACTAAAATCTCTTTTCTTGTCAGACTATAGTTCTTTATTTTTGCATGTACCTTCTTTAACTTCTTGGATATTTTAGACAGTTCCTTATCAGTAAGCTGAAGTTGTGCAACTTTCTTCTGAGTCAATTTTTACCAGTTTCATGAGAGCTTCATCTTCCGTATTTAGTTCCGGTAAATTATCTTCTTCTTCAAAAACATCTCTGGATGCTTTATTTTCTTCCTTCATCGGTTCCAAGAGCTTCTCTTCGGCTATTTCTCTTTTTTCCTTTGAGCTCTAGTAGAGACAGCATTAACCTGGTGAGGACAACTATCAGGTTCCTTTCCTTGTTTATTCAACAGTGCAAAAGTTCGATTGCCTAATAAATAAATACCTTCCTTTGTCGTCGAGTTCATTTCTAATAATGGCAGCCTTAGTTATTACTCGCCCAAGATCGCAATTTAGTTCGATCTCAGCCAATGGTAAACAGGTTGGATTCAAGTCTAATGGCTGTTGCACCCACACATTTTCACCTGTCAGCATTTCCGGCGTGATGTATTTGCGACAAACTATATCAATACTAGCACCTGAATCCCTTAATATAGGAATTTTATGACCATTTACGTAACCCATACTAGTATAAGGTAATAGAAATTTATCCTCTGGTTTTGCACTAATTCTGTTAAGATTAGCAGGAGATTCAGTACTATTCTTAAGTTTTGGACATTGGGGTCTTAAATGTTGATAGGACCCACACTGATAGCATTGTGGCGTCTTTCGTTTTTCATATTTATCATCTGGACGTGGACTTCTAGGTCTATGAAACCAGCTTTGCGAATTAAATCCTGATGACATTTTTTTTTTTTTTCAGTTTTATTTTTATTATCTGAACTCAATTTACCTTGAGTTAGTGCATTGTATCTTTCTTTCTGCCGATCCACTACAGGCTTTTTTTGAAAGTTTCCGCAAACGTTTTCATAGGCATCAAGTTTTTCAGCTAATTTTTTTCGATGAAATTATCTCTACCCATTCATCAAGAAAATGATCTCGAATTTCAGGAGGAACTCAACGTTTAAGTTGGTCAAGCACCATCAAATCTAGCAACTGATCAAAAGTCTTAACTCCTAGACCAGTCACCCATTCCTTGCAATAATTTTCTATTTCATAATTGAAATCCACCCATGTGGATTCGGTACTCTTTTGATGTTTCATAAATTTCTGCCTAAACTAAACTTTTCCGGGCTTAGTTTAAACCGTCTTAACAATAAATTTTTCACGTGTTCATAGTCTTTAGCTTTATCGGAGGGTTCTCTAGCTATTAACTGGGTTACTTCGTTCGTAAGGAAGTAGTCCTAGTAAATGAGATACAAATTCTTCTTTATCAATTTTAGCCCATTCTGCTTGCCTTTCAAACAATAGCAAATATAGACTGATATCTCCTTTCTTGTCATCGAATTTCTGCATAAGGTGACGCAGCTCCGTTTTCGGCCGGATCTGTCCGGTATTTTGAGACTTTGTCTCTGCTTCAAGTCTTAATCTCTCTAATTCATACTGTTCTTTCGTTCCTTCTCCGCTCCGCTCTTCTGCTTCTTCCTGTCTCCTACGTTCTTCTCTTTCCCTTTCCTCCCTCTTCTTTCTCCGTTCTTCTCTTTTCCCTCTTTCCTCCCTCTTCCTTCCTTTCCTCCCTCTTCTTTCCGTTCTTCTATTATTGTGTCTAAGACTCTTTTGACGAATACTTCATCATAATCTCTACTTTCAACAATTTTCTGTTTTAAATCGACTATTTTCAAATCTGCAGTCACATGAACTCCCAGTTCAGCCGCGAGATTTTGCAAATCTTCCTTACGAGCTCTTCCTAAGTAAGGACATTGTTTTATGTTTAAAATTAACGAACACTGTGTTCTTTATATTTCCTCAAAATAGCTCAATTCAAATACTTTAGTTAATTAATGCAGTCAGGAATCACGAAATTAAATGCACTTTGTTAAGTAGTACGTATACCTCAAAAATGAAATATTTAAATTATATGAAGTTCATTCTCTGTACCACATTAATTGTGATTAAAATAAGAATAATAACATAGAGCAATATATATATCTACTACCGTCTGGACAACTAAAATGAATATTAAATATAATATCAAATACGGTAATAAAATAAGACAATTTATTATTAACAGGAAGTAATAATCTGGTATCACTAATATTGCGTTCAGTGATGAACTAATAACATAAAGCAATTCTATATAAACATTAAGTAATAATCTGGTATCACTAATATTATGTTCAATGATGAACTAATAAAATAGAAATACGCACGATTATTCGATCTCGGTCAGTGCCTCCAAAATAATTAAGACTGTAATACTTCTTTGGCGATATGAAGCAACTCCAATGATGGAACACAGAAAAAACTTTATTTAGCACTCAAAATGGCGACATACAAACAAGAAGAGAAAACATATTCTAACATTTAAAAATAAATTACATTCTTCGTGCGAGAGTCGCACGTGGCACTCGAGTCTGGTTTCAAATATTGCCATTCACAATTACCTTAATGTTCATCTATTTAAATTATTTAAACTACAAGATTTTAATACTATTTAAAGCTGTTACAGTGGGTTTCAGTTGATGTTACTGTCAAACAAGTGAGCATTAGTAACAAAAACACTATACATAAGATATTCCACAACTGGCAAGTTAATTAAAAATATGTGAAATGGTTGAATTAGTAAATGGCATTTCCAACATCTTAATCAAGAAAACTGAATACTTAAAAATTGTAATATAGGCCACACAGACAAGTACCCAAAACCAACAGGAAATGTAAAGCTTGTGATCTAAGATTATTTCTGAAGGTTTTGTACAGATACTTTCAAGATTCAGATATAATTAATCCACAGATACTTCAAAACTGAACAGTAATATTAACTTTATGTATCTATTTTTGACCAAATAAATATATATTATTAAATATTATTACTGTAACAGAGGCATTTCTAATCCATATAGCCTGTTTTTTAAAGTGTTACATTTTGCAAAAGGAATAACTTTATGTCCGCTAAATGAAACCAGTTTAGTCTACAAAAAATGATGAACTCAAAATATGTTAAAAATTTCTTACATTACATTAAAGTTCCTACATATCAAATATTTGATACAAATTGTTTTCAATTATTTTTTGAGCTTGCAGGTGGCTTGTTATTTAAATTATATCACAAATGGCTTTAGAGTACTTTATTAAACGGAATGAAATAATACAAGTATTTTAAAAAATAGTTTAAGCACATCATTAAATGCCTGTAAAACAATTAAATTAAGGAAAATGATACACATGATTATTTTAGGAAGGTACAAACCTATAGAGCATGTAAAACAAGGTTTGGACATATATACACAGGTTAAATTAGGTTACTTGAATGCAACTAAGCACACAAGGGCTGACTGCCTAAGGAACAGAATGTAGCAAAGGAAAAGTGTTTTATATCTTGTTACAGCAAAAATAAGGAAAATCAAAAAAACTACCATGTAGTCAGCCCATTTGCCTAGGTTCAAACCCCAGTCAAACTACTACTATTTAGCAGTCTTAATCATTCAGTCATTATTGGAGGCCAAATATAGACAGACCAAATATGACAATTATTTTAAGTCAAAATAGTTTTCCAGACAATTACATGTAATAAGAAGGTACTTATAAACTTCATGATACAAAGAATTAAAAATTACCTGTGTTCTCAAGGCTACTTAAAATAAAGGTCTTCACATCATCTATAACAATAAATATTTTCTTTAAGAATTTCAAATTTGATAATATATCTTCATAAACTTAAAATGTCTGTAAATTTTACACATACATATATTATATAAAAAATCTCAGAAGCAAGACACATAGCTTGAATACTATTTTCATTACACAAAGGAAAAATGCACACACTTGTAATAAATGCTATAGTTTTATGAAGAAAGTTCTTGAAAACACTTTGCAGCTAAAGCAGACGATTTTGCTTTATTAAATGTAAAGTTTTATTGCATTACAGCAGTTCTTTAAGTAAAATATTATATCAAAGAAGTGAAAGCTATCGGTACAATAAAAATATAATTGCTATGCAAAATTAAACACAATAATTAAACATTTTTCTTTTTTTGGGAAGGAATAAATTAAATATTATTGCTGTATTTTTGCTTGTATTTTGAAAAAAAAAAAAAAAATGTGGTACCAGCCCTCTATAAAACAGCAAGTAGTGAATTATTTCCAAAGTTATGGGATTGTACTATAAAAAATAGTAAGTATCAATGGACACAATATGGTCAGCTCAATAAAGCTGACAAAACAGTCACAGACTGGAACAATAACCTGAGGTAAGTTTGTACTCACAGCATCTTAAACAAGGCTTCTGGGAAAATTGGAGGGCCTAACAAAACAGTAGAAATCAGTGGAAGTTTTTGTACAAAGTGTGAAAATGAAGTGAGTTAAACACTGATTGTTTGTTAAATAAAAAGGCATCAGTTTCTTTAGAAAACCATGAGAATGACTAGTGCAACTTTGGCGGGATATCGACCAGCTTTCATAGTTGACATGATATTACACTGATTATTCTTAAAATGTAAGACCAGCAGCAACGTTCTGCTTGGTTTATATGATATCAATCACTTCATTATGAAGTATGACCAATATTAATATTCTGCATACTATAGAAAGCTGTTAAGAAGTTTTTCCAGGTCCAAAGATTGTGGGGAACTTCTTAATCAAGGAGACTTGTTATAATGAAAAGCTTGTAACAGATATAGGATACTCAATTAGCAAAATCACCAAGAGCTTTAAAAGAAATATACAGATATTTACAGTAGTTTATCATAAATTAATGCAGTAAATCTATGTTTATGGTTTTGGTAAAACTAACTCATTGTGAAATGAAACTTCTTAACAATGCACATATAGCAGACTCCTGATTAAAAAGTGTAATACTGGGGATGACATCACGGCTAACTGAAAACACAGTTAAACCAAAGGCAGTTAAAAAATGAAGGAAAGAGGAGTCTTCCAAAAATATTTAGTTGAAAAATACTATGAAGAACATACTAGTATTTTCAAACAGTTTAATCTGAAGAATAAGTTTATTTGATTGCAAAAATTAAACCAGTGTGGAAAACAAAAAGAACACACAACAAAAGGAAGAGAAGAATAAACATCATTAGAATAAAGAAACTAAGAAATACCTGGCATTAAAGAGAAATTTAAGCTCCATAAAAAAGTCAGTTAAAACTCACTTTTTTTATTTCAGATAACATACAATTGTATTGTGGATAAAAACACTCAAATACTAGATTTCATCTGCAATCAGTGCTATTGTCCCATAGAATCTTGTCTTCCTTTTTGTAATTTCCATTCATGGTTTGTTTTATGCTGATGTTTTATTTTTCCATCAAAAATCCATCAATCAATAAAAAACTTTTTTTTTTTTTTTAAAGCAGCGCCTGGTTAATTTGCAACTCAGTTAATTGGAAGTTGAGAGTAATTTATTGTAATTAATTTCAGCAAAATTTCTGCATGATGTTTATAAGATTTTAAAGTCAGCAGATGCTAATAGGTTATAGTATATATTAATAGGCATATACTGATTAATTTTATTCATTACTTAACTGATGTAATGACCACACCACTGTTCTGCATTTTGACAACATAATCCATTGCAAATTATTGCCCAGTTACATCAAATGAAAATCTTTGAGTCATATGAGTAGATTGCACAAGTCAGGACAAATTTCAAACATAGACAATTGCCTAGCAAACTGATTTTCAGAATTTCAGCAAGACTTGACATCATTCTAAATTGCTTAATTCGCCACTGACAACTGACTAAAGATTATACATTGCTTTGAATTATTAATGTACTTAACTTATATGGGTACATGAGACTGATCAATCACTTTTAATGTCTTATTTTAATACAGTCAAAAGTCTTTAATCCGGACTCGTTGGGACTTCGGCGATTCCGGATTATCGATTTTTCCGAATTATAGATCATCAGTTTAAATCTGGTAAGATGGCATGCAGAAATTATAAAATAAAAAATATGAAACTGTAATTTATAAAATAATGAGCAATTATGATCTAAAGGGTATCAAAATTTACAAAAAAGGAAGCTTAATATTTATTTGTTTACTTTATTAAACATTTCTTTCAACGCGCGCATGCGTAAAGCATACATTACGCATAGCATACATTACGCATAGCCAAAATTAGAAAATTCCAACCAGAAAACTATTTGATTTGTATTCATGATATTTATAATGACGAGGAATTTCATTTAAATCATATCAAAGACGGAGTACATCGAGATGAAATGCTACATTTAGTAAGGAATTATAAGCCGAATAAAATAAAAACATCTGCCCTGAAGATAACGATAGTGTTGACAGATCAACTTCCAGTTCATTGCGTGCTGCGACGTCCCCCCCCCGGCAGAGCAGCGTGAAATTGATAAACAGATTTTGGAATGGTTAGAGAAACAAAGGATATGCCTTTATCCATTTTTTGTAGCAATTCCACTTTTTGTTTGATGGACATCAAAACATACTTTCGTTTTCTAGATCCTTTGGGAGCTCCAGCATCAGAAATTCTATTTGACATAATCGAAAGTTCAAGCTTACTTTTATAAAATTGCTCTTACAGTCTGCAAAAAATAATAAGCCGGATCCAATTCGAAGATTAAGGAACAATGCAATCATCAACATTAACTGAAATAGATAATTAGATAATTTTAGCTTATACCGTCCGTTACACATTAAACGCGCACGCGAAAAAGTATTCTGCGCTTGCGCAAACGCATATGCGCAGTCGTAAAGATCTTGCGCGCATGCGTAACCACCTATGCGCATGCGTCAATGCGGCGCATGCGCAGATAGATTTTAGCTTTGAGGTCCGAATTAACGACTTTTGACTGTATAAAATATATAAAATTTATATATAAAAAAAATCATCTTTAAAGGAAATAGAATTTTAAATGAATTTTGTTACATATATTTCAGTTAAAACTTGATATGGCCATTCAGTTATTAACCATTCAGTTATTAAAGGATGGTTACAGCCAAAAATGTCATGGAGAAAACAACGCAAGGTGAAAACGTTATAGTACAAAACATTGTGGAGGAAAAGAAAGCAAAGAGAAAAAGTCCCAGTTCTAAACCATCATAGTACAAAATATCACCTCGAAAATAAAATGTATAAAAAACTTCGCTGTTTAAAAACATCATTGTTGCAAATATCAAAAGGAGAGATTAAAGCACCTACAAATCATCACAGGAATGTGTTTTTCACGCTTTAAAAGCTGTAAATCCAAATTTGCATAACAATTTGCAAGTGCAAGAAGGGAAAAGGGATATTTTTACTTTTATATTTCAAATTTTACATTAAGTAATAAATTTTTGGTGAAAACGTAAATTACGTTACAAGACTATCAGATTAAAAATGTGAGAGAAAATAATTTGTTAATTAATTAAACTATTTTTTATATAGGTAACCTTATGCAGTCACTTATCTTTCTTTTTTTAATCTTTTTTAGACTGTTTTGCCAGAAAAATTATCAGTAGAATTTAATAAAAAATTATTTATTAACAACCTTTATTAGTTAACTATTTAAGTTTAAAATTTTAAATGCTATAAACAGCATTGATTTTCTACTTATTTTCAGTTTTTAAATGCTTAAGTTTCCTTCTTACATTTCCTTCTTACAGCAAGTTATCATCATACGATGATTTGTAGGTGCTTTTTTTCCACCATGATATTTTTGACAACTCTGTTTTTGAACAGTGAAATTTCTGAACCGATTTATTTTCAACGATGATATTCTGTACTACAATGTTTTAGAACTGGGATGTTTTCTCTTTGCTTTCTTTTCTACCACAATTTTTTGTACCACTACGTTTTCACCTTGCATAGTTTTCTCGAAGATTTTTTCTTCCACAATGTATTCGGCAGACACTGTTAAGGACAAAGCAAGAATCATACAGTTTTCTGCTTTAAACTTTGAACAACCAGCTTTGAACATGGCTTAAAGAAATTGACCAAAGTTTGAAATTATAGCCTCTGTTTCAAATTTAATGATTTTTTTATATGATGTTTTTGGTAGATGAAAGGTTTACTTTACTAGAGTTTAACAGTACAATTCTTAAAAACTATACTTTAATATTAGTATCATCAATAGAATGCAATTAAAAACACCTGTGGAGATTTCTGTGCATAACACAAATAAAACAAGCAATTTCACAAAGAAGTAAAATTATTGGCTGATCTTTGGTGGTGGTGTGTGTGATTATGGCAAAGCCTCGAGGGCTATCTGCCTAAGAGGAGGGATGCCTTCGTGAGGACTTTCTAAGGGAAACTGGCTCATATACACGTTACACATGGGGAAAACCACGAAAACACCCATGCAGCCAGCCCGTTCGCGGGATTCGAACCTCGGACCGAACTACCAGTGTTCAGCGACTTTACCGCTCGGCCGCTGGTGGGCCGGCTGATCTTTGGAATATGGTAACTGGTAGTTTGGCCACATTTTGGAGGCGATAAAGGTTACTACCAAGGACTTTGGTAATAATGTGAGAAGTACTTAGTTCCGATTACACATTATTTTGTGTGAGGGAAATGAGAGATCATGAGATATGTCATGTGACATTAATGGACGAATTACAGTTCTTTAATCGGAAAAAGGGGGGCAATTTGGAAAACTGTAGTACTATATTATTTTGTATTAAGCTTCATTGTGTGTTGT